AAGGTGGCACTGGGCGGGCGGGGATTTCAGGAGATACCTGGGCGGAGGGTAATGAGGAGCAGAAGGAAGACCATAGCTAGCATCTTCCAGGTGGTGCAAGTGGTAAAGACTTCCCTCGTGGCTCAGCCAGTAAGGAGTCTGCCTGCAGTGCAGGAAACCCGGGTTTGATCCCTGGGTCAGGAAGATCCCCTGGAGGAGGGCATGGCAACCAACTCCATGGAGCATCCCATGCACAGAGGAGCCTGGTGGGCTACAGCCCACAGGGTCGCAAAGAGTCAGACACGACTGAGGCGTCCTAGCACACACACGCGCACTGAGTACTTACCACGTGCCAGTCACCGCCTCATGTAATACTCACGACAGCCTCCCCAGAGATGAGTAATACAGTTGTTCTCAGTTCTTAGACGAAGAAACTGTTCAGAGAGGATAAGTAACTTGCTCAAAGTGACCCAGCTCTTAAGGGACAGAGTGGGGACCTGAATCCAGTACTCTGCCTCCTGAGACTGCATAATTTAGCACTCCCTTTTCCACCTTGCTAAGCTACTTCAGGAGCCTCTAACTGGCCAGTATCCATTTCTACATCTTCCCACTCCTTTAGCTGGGAGTTGGTGGCCATAAAAAAAGAGAATACTTTAGCTCACTGTTGCAACTTTAAGGTAGCTAGAGAATTGATCAACACCTAGGCTATAATAATACTGATAACAGCAACATTTGGCATTCGCCCACTGCTCTGTGCTTTTAATTATTTCCCTGGGGAAAGTGAACACTAAAGTATTTCCATTCCTCCAATTTTTTTCCTGATTTTTTTTTTTATCAGTGCTTCTAAAGCTATGTCTTTACAGTTATGATCAATGAATAAGAATACTTTTGGGATTCCCTTTTGGTCCAGTGGTTAGGACTCCACACTTCCATTGCCCAGGGCACAGATTTGATCCCTAGTGGGGCTTCCCTGGTGGTTCAGACAGTAAACAATCTGCCTGCAATGCGGGAGACCTGGGTTCAATCCCTGGGTTGGGAAGATCTGGAGGAGGGCATGGCAACCCACTCCAGTATTCTTGCCTAGAGAATCCCCATGAACAGAGAAGCCTGGCGGGCTACAGTCCATGGGGTCGCAAAGAGTCGGACACGACTGAGCGACTCAGCCCAGCACAGAGAATTAGGATCCCACAAGCTGAGTTGGTGGCCAAAAAAAAGAGAATACTTTCATGTTCTGGCTTTTATGTCACAGTCTGCCTATACGCATGTTTACATATATGAACACAGTAACTGCTTATATTGCTTTACCATAGATGTTGCATCACCAAGGGAGTGGAGCATTGGGATGTGACACAGATGTGTGAGTGTGACCCCGTCTCTGCAAATATCCAACTCTGTGACATTCAGTAAACCATTTAATCTTTCTCAGTTTTAGTTTTCTCATCCATGAATAGAGAAAATAGTACTTATCTCATAGAGTATCACCCAGGGTTTTGAAATGAGGTGTGTCTAACTCAGAGCTGAGACTCAAAGAATGCTTGGTAGTGGTGTCAGTGTTCTGTGCTTACGCGTCTTTCTCCCAAGCAACCGTGTACTCCTGGTGGACAGGGACTTATTTCTGCAGCTGCTCCCACCCAGCCCATTACCTGGCACTTGGGCTCCATAAAAGTTTGTTGAATGAAGAGTTACTAAGCCCTAACCTAGCCTTTTCTGTTGGACATCTGGGCTGTTTCTAGAGCTTTCACTGTTAACAAACTATACTTCAAAGCCCCTCTGTTTACATTGCCTCATTCAATCTGCACACCGTGTGAAGTAGGTGGAAAGAGGCTATTTGCACATATCCATGTCCCGTGAAAGATGGAACAACGGTGGCTGACTGAAATGATTCCTGTGGGTCACATCGCAAATCAGTGACAAAGGTTAGAACCCCTGACCCTACCTCCCTTCCTTGGGTGGATCTCTTTTCTTTCTGACTACCTACTTCTGGATCAGAGTGGCCTCTCCAAAAATGAAGACTCTGATGGCGGGCCTGGCCAAGAGCCTGACTTGAACCCAGGAGACTGCCTCATGAAATCATATTACTCAGCACCGCCTTTTCCATCTTGCCAGGCCATTCCAGGAACTTCAAACCTTCCAGCACCCAGAAGCCCGACTGGAGGTGAATCCCCAGGAAACCAAATGCCCAATTCCCAAACACATCAGGGCTTGTATTTTCTCAGAGCAGGGAGCTTCTTAGGAAAGAGCCAGCATGCCAGCTTTTCTTCTTCTTCTTTTTTTTTTTTTTCTGAGGGGGTGAGGAGGCGAGCATTGAGTTGTCCAGGAGGAGGGACTTTGGCTAAAAATAGCTATGGCGTGTGGATCAGCCTCTAGTGGTACCCAGGACTGGGGAGGGGAGGGGGATGCTCTAGAGCTGTCGCCAGACTGGTTGCTGTGGAAACAGGAGAGGAGCAGGGGAGCCTGGGAAGTGGGGATGACACAGATAGCAAGTCCTAGTCAGAGCTGCCGCTACATTTAGGAGAAACAGCAGTGCTTGCGGCTCCCACCCTCCAAGGGTGCTTGGGGTGAGGGGGAGGCGGTGTCAGGGGCATGGACGCTACCCCCCAGGGGTCTCTGCTGCCGGCTACTCTCCTCTCCACACGCTGTGAGTTGAGTTGCGGGGGACTTGGGTTTGGGCCCCTATTTCCAAGGCAAGTGGGGATTTGGGAAAAGCTGGTTCCTGAGGGAGTTTTCATCAGATCCCCTTCCAAAAAATAAGCCCCCTTGCAGGCCAGCACTCTCAAGTGGGAGAAAGGGAGATTCAGCAGAAGGCAGCACAGGGGTCTTCTGAAAAGGGGACACAGCATGTACATGAAATAAAGAGGAACAGGCTGGAGGAACAGGACTCTCCGGAGGGAAGCTGCAGAAATTGAGTCTTTACTCCTGGGATGGAGGCAACCATTTCACACCTTTCTTGCCCCACTGAGAAAAATGCAGCCCCCACTTAAGGAAGATAGGAGACAGAGCACAATCAAAGTGAGGCTCATCTAGATCCCCAGGGCAATGGAGGGTGAGAGAGTTCTGGGGACTATCAGACTCTGGGGTTTCTTTCTCACACCTGGGCAGAGAAATCTGCCTAAGCAGGCAGATTGGGGATCAGATGACCTAAGACCTTGAGAGAACATCTGAAAGCCCACCTGGATGGAAGCTGGAATAAGTGGGCTCAGGTACTTTTCTGCAGGACCTGTGATCTCTAAGCCAATCAGTGCTTGGAGATCACTTCTCAAGGATATCCTGGGCTGCAGGAAGAGAAAGGGACACTCACCACTGGGGGAGCAGAAGACCCTAACCTGCCATTGCATTGGGACTCCTGGACGTGTCCCCGATTCCTCCTGAAAAATAAATATAGGGGATGCCCCCAAGCTCCAAGCCATCTTGTTTTGGTTTTCCCTCCTGCCCTCTACCCCAGCAACACACACAAACCACACATAAACCCACACACACCCACACACACACACAACCTCCAAAGATCTACAGAACACCTCACTCCAGAACTTAAATTCAAGAGTGCTGGGTTTGGAGTTACATATCCAGGCAGTTTCTCCCCAGGACCTGGTCAAATGTCCAGACCATCTGTGGTCCTTATGTCACACTCTTCCCGTCCACCACTCTACTACAACCAGTCCAGGATTCCTTGAGTGGGAGAAGAGGATGATTCCCAGGAAGAAGGGAAGGTTGAAAAGCCTTGAATCTTTATTCTTAACCTTTCCTCATATGGGTCATACCTCCTAGAGGTCCCTAGATGGCTATGGAAGGGCTCTGGGTCTCTCTCTCTCTCTCAGGGCAGATTGCAGTCCAGAGAGCTGCTCACAGGGAAGAATTTAAAGCAAAATCAGGTAGGCTTCTCTTGGAATGTGAAATCTGGGACATATGGAGGGGGGCTGTTGTGAGGATAGTAGAGGGAGGTGGGAGGCTGGGGTGGGGAGAGAACTGAAGGGAGGAGAGAGGTAAATGTGGGTGCTTCGATCACTTATCTGAGTTAATGGCTCATCAAGAGCAGGTTGCTAGAGGCTTACAAGCCTAACCTTCATGAACTTTGTGCTTCTTTTACCTCGGCTGTCCGTGTTGATCTCACACCCTCCAACCCTCCTGCCCATTTGCAGGCTGTCTCCACTGTGGAAATAACCCAGGGGAAATGGGGCTAACACTACAGCTGCAATGACCAGCGTCAGTGCTCAGGGAGAATTCTCAGTGGGAATTTCCTAAGGTGGGAATGTTCAACCTTTGCCCACTGGAGATCTTTCACTTGCTTTCCACCACTTTCATTTCTCCTTTGTAAGCTTCTTGAGAGGAAGATGTGTGGGGAGGCGGGGTGGGTAGAGTAAGCAAGGTCCAAGGAGGGAGGAATGGGCAAGACTTTCTGTGTCTGTCTCCTGGTGACTGGTAAAAGAACCTGGTTAGCTGCCAGGCTGAAGGCGGAGATGAGGGATAAGGGGACTGCCTGACTTTAGCCTGGGTGGGGTGGAAGTGGGAGGCCTTTGGGCAGGGAGGGCTCTGCACTGGAGAGGAAGATGAGCCACCTGCTTTCAAGAAGCTCACAGTGTACAGATCTCAGGAAACTCCCTCCTTGCCCAGGGCCTTTTGCCTGGGGGTGGCCGTGAGGTGCTGTACAGACCAGCTAGAGGCAGTGGAACCAAGATCTCTGTTACCACGCCTCACCCTTTCCCTCTAAAATAATCAGTCGTGCAGAGTGTGATCCAGTTCATACACCCTATCCCACCGGATCCTCACGAGTTTGTAGCTGCGGGTGGGGCCAGCGAGGGTTGTGTGTATCGATCGTTCCCATTCTACCGATGCGGCCAGCCGAGGCTAAGAGGCAGCAAGGGGCTCGCACGGGCCCCCCACCCCCACCCCCCACCCCAGCCCCTGCGCGCAGGCCCGGACGTCTCGGTCTCTCCGGCGGGGTCGGCTAATACGGCCCACCTCTCAGCCCCTCCAGGCCCCGCGCCGCCGCCCGGGCCGTGACCTCGCCGCCCGCGGCCGCGGCCATGGCGCAGGAGAACGCCGCCTTCTCGCCGGGCCCGGAGGAGCCGCCGCGGCGCCGCGGCCGCCAGCGCTACGTGGAAAAGGACGGGCGCTGCAACGTGCAGCACGGCAACGTGCGCGAGACGTACCGCTACCTGACCGACCTGTTCACCACGCTCGTGGACCTGCAGTGGCGCCTGAGCCTGCTCTTCTTCGTGCTGGCCTACGCGCTCACCTGGCTCTTCTTCGGCGCCATCTGGTGGCTGATCGCCTACGGCCGCGGCGACCTAGAGCACCTGGAGGACACGGCGTGGACCCCGTGCGTCAACAACCTCAACGGCTTCGTGGCCGCCTTCCTCTTCTCCATCGAGACGGAGACCACCATCGGCTACGGACACCGCGTCATCACCGACCAGTGCCCCGAGGGCATCGTGCTGCTGCTGCTGCAGGCCATCCTGGGCTCCATGGTGAACGCCTTCATGGTGGGCTGCATGTTCGTCAAGATCTCGCAGCCCAACAAGCGCGCCGCCACGCTCGTCTTCTCCTCGCACGCCGTGGTGTCGCTGCGCGACGGGCGCCTCTGCCTCATGTTCCGGGTGGGCGACCTGCGGTCATCGCACATCGTCGAGGCCTCCATCCGCGCCAAGCTCATCCGCTCTCGCCAGACGCTGGAGGGCGAGTTCATCCCGCTGCACCAGACGGACCTCAGCGTGGGCTTCGACACAGGCGACGACCGCCTCTTCCTCGTCTCGCCTCTCGTCATCAGCCACGAGATCGACGCCGCCAGTCCCTTCTGGGAGGCGTCGCGCCGCGCCCTCGAGAGGGACGACTTCGAGATCGTGGTCATCCTCGAGGGCATGGTGGAAGCCACGGGTGCGCGCGGGCCCGAGGAGGAGGAGCAGGGAAGGGGAGCGGGTGGGCGGGGAACTGGACGGAGAGGAGCCAGGGCGACGAAGAAGGGGGCGAGGAGGGATGGAGGGACTGGCAGAGAATGGATGGAGAGGCTGGTAGAGGACGAGAGAGGCTGAGGTGAGATTCGGGACCTGGGTTGGGAGAGGTGTGTGAACAGAGTGATCCTCGAGAGCAGAGAAAAAGCAGGAATTCTCCGAAGTAGCCCTGTCAGGGGCCCTGGCTGAGAGGTGCAAATAGGGGGATAGGGGAGAGTAACGTCGGTAGCCAAGCCAGTGCTTACTCCACGCCCTGCACGGTTCCAGAGCACTTTACCCCTCTGAGCTCATTTAATCCAAGCCCCATGAAGGAGCCCGCTGAGGTTATTTCTCATTTTTGTGCTCATTTTTCAGGGAGCAGGATGCCCCAGGGAGAAGTTAAGTTGTCCACAGTCCCAGGCTAAGTAAGCAGTGGACGCGGGCTGTCTGGCTTCAGTGTTTAGGGTGCAGAGTAGGAAGGGAGATTTAGGTTTGCAATCTTTCTCCATACTGAGAGGTCCAGGCTTCTGGAATTTGATGGTGAAGGTTTTCCATGACCTGAGTTATCCCTAGTGTGGATCTTAAGGAGAGGTTGATAGCTGCTCCCAGCTCTACCTGGATTTCCCAATCCATCAAAGGACTCAGTCTCCACTGACAAAGGAAACAGACGACCTGAACATTTCGAGCCCCTTTCCAGAAGGAATTGGCAATGTACCTGTAATGTCGGAACTTTCAACTCAGGCCTACACAGTGAAACGTTTGGGAGCAGGTAGGACAAGAGCAGTGTAGCAGGACCAGCAAATGAGTCCTTTGATACTTGAGATCTAGAAGAGGGGAAGGGTCTTCCCTGGCAGTTTGGCGGTTAAGACTCTGAGCTGCCAATGCAGGAGGTGGGGGCTCGATCCCTGGTCTGGGAACTAGGATCCTGTGTGCTTTGGTGGGGCCCAAAGCATTTTTTTTTTAATGGGGATAGAAATGGGAGGAGAAGACTGCAAGTGGATAACCAAGGCCCACCAGGTGGCCCTGTGGCTCCTGCCTGTGTTGTCCGCTCCTGGCTTATCCTAGGTTGGTGCCAGCAAACACGCTTCACGCTGAGCCTGAACCACTGTCTGCCTCAGTCTTCCTCACTCCTTCCCCCACACCGTACCCCCACCCCCGTTCCTTTCCCTCCCCCCACTCACCCTGCTTCCTTTCCTCTCATCTCACCAGCTGGCACTCTCGCTGGTACCTGGGAAATCCCTGCCCAACCCTCTTCTCATGTACCGCCAGCCTCTCACCCTCTTCCTGGAACCCCCTCTCTCCAGGGCCACTTTTGCTTCCTCTTCCCCTCCTCTCCTGGACATTTCCTATGCCAGCCAAAGCAACAGAGAATACCAATGTCCCCAGACCGGCTCAAGGCAGGGCTTTCAGAGTTAAGAGCCAGTCTCTGGTTAGCTAATGTTCACTCTTCTGTTCCCCTTTGTTTGAAGGTAGGTATGAACTGAGGCGGGTGTGAGAGACCCCGAGTAGAAGGAGAAGCATTTGCCCCAGTGGCTGTGCCCACCCCACAGGGAAAACAGGCCACACGGCCATGGCAAGGAGTACAGGGGAGGGGGAGGGGGAGGAGAGAGGGAGGGGAGCCTGTCGGAATTTTCTAGGGAGACAAGGTTGGAAAGGATGGTAATATTTTGGGTGAGACAGTCAGCATCCAAAATGCTTCTGAAAAGCAAGTATAATGAGCCAAAAACCCAACAAGATGACATTTAAAAGGAATAAATATAAAGTTCTAGATTTAGGCTTTAAAAAAATCACTTATGTAAGCACAGCATGGAAGAGCTCTGGTGAAAAAAGAACTGGGGGTTTTAGTTGGCCACAGGCAATGTGACACAGCTTCCCAAAATGTTTATATAATGTAATCTTGGGCCCTATTAGCTATAGAATCATAGGCAGAAGGAGAGGCAGTGAGCCCTCTCTTATGCATGCATCAGGCCACAGTTGGAGTATTTATCACACTCAAAGTGCTTAAAGCATCCTCCTTGGCCATTCTGGTTTGCAGTCAAGAAAGTAAAATTTTTGGAAGCCAGGTCACAGGAATGGTGAAGGGAGACAGATATTCAGTCTGAAAGAGAGAAGACATGAAACCTGAGACTCCTGCTTCCAGTTACTTGAAGGGGTGTCATAAAGCAGAGGAATGAAACTAAGGGAAGCTGATTTTGGCTCTGTATAAAGAATAACTCAAAAATTAGAGCTATTTCACAAAAGAGGGGATTCCTTGTGAGGTGGTGAGGTCTTAATCCTAGGAGGTAATCAAGTGCAAGCTAAATGCACATTATTGGGAATGTTCCAGTGGGGTACCCTGTATGGAGAGGCAAGTTGGACTAGATGATCCCCAAGATCAGTCTCAAGGCTAAGCTTCTCTGATTGGCATCTCCGATGGAGGGGAAGGGAGAATGCGGGCCAGAGATAAAGCGGGGAGGAGGGAAGTACAAGAACTGGGAAGAAAGAGAAAGCAGACTGGACTAAAGGGGGTTGCAGGCCCTTGAGGAGGGCTCCAGGGAAGAGTTGTAGGAATAGGGTTGTGTAATGATACAAGAGAGGTAAGGCTGTAGCTGGGATCTCCTTGACCTATGCCCCGCCCCCCAGGAATGACATGCCAAGCTCGGAGCTCCTACCTGGTGGATGAGGTGCTATGGGGCCACCGCTTCACCTCAGTGCTGACCCTGGAAGATGGCTTCTACGAAGTAGACTATGCCAGCTTCCACGAGACCTTTGAGGTGCCCACACCTTCCTGCAGCGCCCGGGAGCTGGCCGAGGCCGCGGCCCGACTGGACGCCCATCTCTACTGGTCCATCCCCAGCCGGCTGGACGAGAAGGTGGAGGAGGAGGGGGCTGGAGAAGGGGCGGGAGAGGGGGCTGGAGAGGAGGCGGGAGAGGGGGCGGGCGAAGGGGCTGGGGTTGACAAAGAGCAGAATGGCTGCCTGCCACCCCCAGAGAGCGAGTCCAAGGTATGACCGGATTCCTCCAGACCCCTGTGGCAGGGCCAGACACAGGTACCTGGGGAGCTGAGTATCGCAGGTGGAGAAGGAGTCCGGCAAAGGTCCCTATGAATGCACCAAAGCTGGAGAGCCGCCTCAGAATCTCAGGTCTGGGATCCAACTGGGATGGCAGAGATCCTGATTTCAGGAGAATGGAGGGTGGGGATGGGTGAACTTACCCAGCCTGTCTGTGTTTGACCTTCCTGTCTGTTCATGGGTGGATGGATAGACAGAAGGATGGGCCTGTGTGAGCCGGATGAGAAGGTGCTAGCAGAGAGAGACAGCCGGTGGATAGATAAGTGGGCCGACAGGCTGGTGGTGCGCTCAGGGCTGCCGCTAACTCAAAGAGCGTCTTTGTGCAAATTCTAAAAAGGCACCCTTTTCCTTTAGACTGACACCACCCTAAACCAGGGTGCATGGCTTGGGGAGCAGATGTGGGCTGGATTTTAGTCCCCACTCTTCTCCTCAGCCAGCCTCCCCGAGTCTGGCGCATCTGTCTCATTGGACACAGCAGCCCAAGCTGACCCAAGGAAGAGAAGGCTGGAAGGAGGCAGGCAGAGAGGAAGAGGCTGTCCTCCTGCCTCCACCCCCCAACCGTGACAGGCTGGGAGGGAGGCTGAAAGGCTGCAGGGGCAGCTCAGTAGGGTGAGAATGAGCTCGTCCACGATGCAGGGAAACCAACTGCAGGCGAGATGCCAGAGCGGGGGCCCTGGGGCCCTGGGGCTGGGCCTGGGAAAGGCAAAGTGGGGCCGACCACCTTCTAACAGCGGAGTGAGCTCTCACAAGTGCCCCTGCAGAGGCGGGAGGGGAGAGCAGGCTTGTGAAGGGAGGAACCAGGGGAGGCATGGAGCTCATGAGTTCACTAGAGCTGGGACCCGGGGCCCACAGGAAACCAGAGTCAGTCTTGGGGTACAGTGAGAGGGAGTCATTCACATGGCTACTGGGTGCCAGCTGGGTCCGGGGCACTGACCCGGGCATGTGTGGGGAGGATGGTCAGAGATCCGATTCCTATTCCGGGAATACAGCGCAGGCACGTGGGAAAGACAGAGACATATGCCTTTGGCAACTGTTTCAAACCAAGAACCTGGGCGATCTCTCTGAGTAAGGGTGGGCGGGCTCGGTGATCAGAAAGCCGAGGACTGAGTCAGACCTGGAGGGTGACCTGAGCCAGCAGTTGTGAACTTGGGTGGGCATCGGGGCCAACCTGGAGGGCTCAGGGACACAGATGGTTGAACCCCACTCCCGGAGTTTTGGACACTGTAGGTCTGGGGTAGAGACTAAAACTCTGCATTTCTAACGCGTCCCGGGTCCTGATGCCAGAACAGGGACCATTCTTTGAGAAGCCCTTCCCTAAGCAGATTGGGGGGTTCTGTCATGAAGTGGGCATCAAGCTGAGGAGTAGCTGAGGATCCTTGTGAAGGAGACTGAAATATAACGGGTGGATTGTGGTGGGGAGAAAGGGGACCCTGAAACCCAGGCTGAAGAGTTTAACTCTGGACCCAGGGACTCACCCATCAGTGAAAATGGGGCGGCAACAAGCTAGAGATGGGGTTTGGTGAAGATGAGTAGGCATAATAGATAGAGCAAAGCAGCTGGGAGGGCTTCAGGGGGGTCCTGGGGAGGCAATGGGAACTGGAGGAGGAAGGGCGTCAGTGACAGAGGATGGAATCCCACGTGGGACTTGAAGTAGGCTTAAATGTGGGAGAAGGTGTGAGAGAGCCGCGAGAGACCAAATATCTGGATGTGGCCTGCCGTTTGCCCAGCTGGGACAGGAGCCCCTGCAGACATGTTCCCATGCTGCGTGCACCCCCTTCCTGGCCTCATCCCAGTCACCAGGGAGGCCCTCCATCCCAGGGTGATGAAGGGAGAGGAGCAGCGAGTCAAGAAGGGACAGAGGTGGGGGACCTGTGGGTGGTACACACACGCAAGCACACCATCCCCAGCGTTGAACCCCAGCCCTTGGCCCTGGCTGCATCCCACTCCAGACTTTAATAAAAGTCTGAACTCCTTGGTGGGGGAGCACCCCAGTGCGCTGCATTCCAGGGTGCGAAGCTGGGGTCCTGTGAGCCGCTGTGCCTCCTGGAAGCAGGACAGAGCCATACCAGCTCAGAGAGGACGTCTTTGCCTCAGATCAGGGTCACCTGGGTCACCATCAGTCAAAGATGAGGTCCCTGCACCCTGGCATCAGTCGTTCGCAAAAAAAAAACAAATGTTGGGGGATGGAATGGGGTGCGCTTTTGGTTCAGTTTGCTGAAACAGCTGGAGTCTGGATAGAAGAGAGGGGACTGTTTGTGTCCACACTTGCTCACACGGTAGTTCACCCACTAAAAATGAAGCCACTGCAGAGAACTGAGACTGGGTGGAAGGTGCCGAGACCCTGCCACCCCTCTCCTCACACTGAGCCACCACTCAGGGCCCCACTGTGCGCAGTGCGGGGAGTCTGGAGACCTGGGCTCGAGTCCTGACACTGTCACTACTTCGTTCTATGACTCCGGGCAAGTCGCGTCACCTTTCTGGGCCTCAGTTTCCCCATCTGTAAAAACAACACTTGGCAAACTGGTAATGCTCAATAAACATTTAAATCACTGAGTTGAAAGAGATCAGAGAATCCTTAGGCAGAAACAAATTCAGAGAGCCCCAAGGGCGCAGGAGGGGGTGGGGGGCGGCAGCCAGGAGCAGGGGGTTTGGGGGGCTCCTCTGAGTGCTGTCCTCCCGCAGCTGTGTTCCGGGGCTTCCATTCTGCTGCTGTCAGACCGAATAATGAAGATCAGGAGGGAAAGGCTGAGGCCCCAGGGCCTGGGGGGAGGAGGCAGGTCCAAGATGAGCCTGACCAAGAGACTGAGATTGTGGAGTGGCCCAGGAACCCAGCAAAGGGGGTGCTGGGCCCTGGAAGCCCCTGCCCCACAACCTGGGAGAATTCTGGGGCAGAGGCCGTGCTCAGCTGGAACTCACCCCCCTTTCTCCCTTCCCGCCCCCAGCAAGAATCCCAACAGGAATCGGCTCTGCGCTGACAGCTCGGACAGCAGATGGGACCCAGGTGTCCCCTCCTGGGGTGGGTGGCATGGCCCACGGAGGCCAGATGGTGTTTGTAGGGGAAGAGCGGCCCAGCTTGTCCAGAAGAGGCTGTCAGCCCCCAGCAGCCTCCCTGTCACCCGTCCCAGCCCCCACGGCAGGGAAGACACAGCCAGCCCGGATTTTATAAAACAAGTTTATTCACATTTTAGAAAAACTAATTCTAAGACAGGGGACTGCCTCCCTTTGGGCTGGGTATGAGATCATGAATAGAAGGCCAGAGGGAGGAGCTTGGGAAGGAAGGAGTGGGGGGTCAGTGGCCACGTCCCCCACTCTGGGTGGGAGTTGGTCAAATAAATTAAAGGGAGAGCAGGCAGAGGGAGAGGGTATTCAGACACCAGAGGCAGGCTTGCGGCTGGGCTGGAAGACAGTCACACCTGCAAGAACAGGAGGGCGCGGAGAGGGGGCTAGGGAGAGTGTGACTCCCTCCTGGCCCTCGCCAGGGTCCCGCAGAGCTGAGAGGGGCTGGGTAGGGCCAGGGAGGGAGCCATTCATCTCAGGACTGGGGAAGACAGGGCTGGGGGTTCTCACCCCTCACCTGGGGTGCGAGGAATCACCGTTTCCGCAGCCTCTTCATGAAACAGCAGGTGATGGAGCCGAGGATGGTGGCTCCGATGACTAGAGCAACCCCTGCGCCCACCAGCAGGGGCACAAACAGAGTGTCCAGGGCTGGGTGAGAGAGGACGGCGCTGCTCAGCCTGGGGTGTCACTGCTCTCCACCCACAGCCCCACCCGTTTGCCAGCACCTTCTGTCAAGCTGTCCACACCAGCTCCTCCCCCACACACAGTCTTCTGCCGGCTCCCTGCCCTCTCTGCACTGAAGCCAGCACCCACCACCAGGACACCGCAGCAGCTGGAGGCCGAAAGCTGGACTTTTGGAGCAGAAAGAGGGACCAGAGGGACAGCTAGTGGGAGGATCAGATGCAAAGGAGAGGACAAGAGCGGGGGATGGGGGGAGGCCTGAGCGAGGAGGAGGGCAGCCGTCACTCACCATGTGTGTATGGGTAGACGGTGACAGGCCCCGAGCGGGCACTGCCTGCCTGGTACCAGCTGTAGTCGGCGTGCTGCACCCAGGCGCTGGGGGCGCAGTGGTACACGCCCTCGTCCTCAGGCCCCAAGCCATGCAGCCTCAGCCGATGGCTTCGGGGACCCACCAGCTCCACGCTGACAGGGCCTCCGCCAGGCCGGACCCCCAGCTCCGCCACGCCGTCCTGGCCCACCCCACCCACCAGCTGGGCAGGGGCAGAGCTCAGCTCGCCCTCCTCCGGCCGCTCCACCCACCAGCTGGCTGCAAGCCGCAGTCCAGGGGGGCCGCCCCGCACGGAGATGTTGCAGAGCAGGGAGGCCGTCTCCCCGCGGTACACGGCGCCTCCCGCTAGCCAGGCCACGGCCTCCAGCACCACACCTGCACAACAGAGGTCAGAAGGTGAGAGGTCAGGGCACATGGGGTTAGGACCCCTGTCCAAGCAACCCCCCAGAAACTCATTGTTCCCACAATCCTAAAAGGGGAGTGTGAGACAGACGTGGAGGCAGCTGATGGAGAGGGAGAGCACAGAAACACACGGAAGGTTCTACAGACCCCAAGTCCTGCCCAGGGCCCAGCCCAGCCCTCTCACCTTCTTCCCGGACGTGCACAGGAAGGGGCCGGGAGCGGGCACTGGCAGCTTCGCGAAGCCGGGCCCCAGACCCTCGGACGTAGGCCTTGGCTAGGCAGCGGTAGGTGCCCGCGTCCCCAGGCCGGGCAGCCTCCAGCCGTAGCCGGTAGGTTCGGGAAGCCACCTTCTCCATGGCAATGTGCCGGCCCTCATAGCCGGGGCCCAGGCTGCCCACTCCCTCCGTGTCCAACTGGGCCACCAGGCGGCCGGGCCCAGGTGCCCCTGCGGGTGCCATCTCCCAGCCCACGG